TACTTTGCAATTAGTCAGGATTTTTTGGAAAAAAGGAGTTTTTGGAGGTAATTAACCTCCCTAAGAGCCCTCTTCAAAAACACAATGGTCTCTCCTACAACACGGTTCCAATTTCTGTTCCCTACACCCAAACATTCAATCTACAAACCTTTGAGTATGAGATGAATATATCGCATGGACTTATCCCACCATCTACAAAGCTACTTTGCTGACTGGCTGGCTCAGGATCCTGAGCAGACAGAATGTCCAGCACATTGGGAGAGATGCGCAACTGAGAAATCTCCATTTCACGAAAGTATAAATTGTAGCCTGAATATGTCACCCATTTGCTGTCGCTCTCTCCCTTAGTGTGTATGCCATCATAAAGTTTCTGGCCTCTGCTGCCATCGTAGACATGAGTTATTCGTCCCTAAATTAAAATAAGAGACATTTTTAACATTCTGTAAAGTAAAATCAAGTTTTAATAACCAAAAACTTTTTTCAAACTTCTAAAAACACCTATACAACATGTTCAATGTACATTCAACAACACACCAAAGCTAATTAACAGTACATGTACCACAGTTTCAATTTCTGTATTAACAGACATTCAATAACAGTTTGATTCTGTTAAAATTACCACCAGAAGGTAGAAGGGTGGGAGAGAGACCAAAAACCACTTGAAGAAAGACATTAGAAACAATACAAGAGTTTTAATGTAACCAAGACAGTGGCACAAAACAGAATGTGTTTGTTTTAGAAAGTGACAGCCGTGTGTCTAATGGAATGAAGAGAGCAGATGATGATGATGATGATGATGATGTTAAAAACATCTCTCAGCTACATTTTTGCATCATTTCATCAACCAGAAAATTGTACATTTGCCTTCATTTTGATTCGTGCCGCAAGCCAAAGGCAATATCCCTATAGTAGCTGAAAACTTTTAAACACACAAGGTCAATTCTGCAGGGGAGGTGGGAGGCTCCCATAAAAGAATGGACAGGGTGCTCGTCATAGCTTTAAAGGGTTAAAAAAAAAGAAAGCAGTTTTGGTACCTCTTTGGGTGTTCAGCCTCAAAAGGTCCACAGCGGGTTCAGTTTTTGTGGTACCTTTTAGGGTATTGAACCGAAAAAAAAAATGGAGATAATGTGTTGTTTTAGAATTGTTACCTCTAAGGGGCAACAAAAAGTTAAGCCACGCCCACAAAAGAGGATCTATATGGTACCTCTTAGGGGTTCTTTTCAAAATTTCTGATGAGCACCCCATCCTTTTCATATGGGAGTCCCTGGTCCCCTGTGGGTCAATTCATTTAAAGTTGACTTCCTGAAAATGCTGGGCAACACACCTGATGATATCGCAGACCACCCAGCCGTACGCCTTCTTGTCCCCTGTACTTCCCCTGAGGGAACAGCACAATGGAACCAATGGCAATCTCGTCTGGCTCTGGCACTCGATCCAGTGCCAAATTAAAGTAATCAACTACACGCCCAGTTGGATCTTGGTCATCCCAGTTGATGGTGTACTTCAGTGCGTTGGAGTTAAACGAGACTATGGTGGCCGTGAAATACTGCCATGGAGTTGACTCCCACATGGCTAGAACCTACAAATTAAATTACACGGAATTGTAGTTACACAATGTAGACCAGTGCCAACCAGGAATACAAGTTGTTTTCAAGTTGCATCCCCCACTCCTCTTGTGAGTTTGCTGCACAACTTACAGTTGTACCTTCAGGTATCTTTGCTGTCTACTATATAATACATGTACAGGTATGCATATGAATGACAGTACATTTTCCACATTTTTATGGCTCACCAATAGTTAAATGCAAAATCAGAGGAAATATGAAGCTCTTGGTTGTTTTACAGTTGTAAATAAACCTAGTTATGTCAAGACATCCTTGGGAAATTGTTTGGTTGTAACAGTTTGACTGCATTCACACCTCCTTGCCACATCCTGCCCCCACAGGATCTTTTGTCACACCCTGCCCCCATGGCACCTTTTGTTACACCCCATCTCCATGGCAATGTCAAGTCAGGTCAATGATTGTAATAATAAGGTGCTGTATTGATCAGGTTTGTCTATACTGTGTTACATTTGTCTAACTCACCGGATCTCCAACTTTGGGTAAATTGCGGGCTTTCTGCGGTGAAGCTTGTGTTGGAGCTGGACTGAAAGCCTGCAATAAAAAGAATTAGCATATCAACCTCTTTTCATACAGTGTACATGTATACTGATACACCCCAAACTTGGAACAAAGTCCTCTATATGTCTGTACCAAACTGCTGATTCATTGAATAAAGAATTGCCAAGAATGGAATGAACTCCATTTTTCACATATGTTTTCCTATTAGCTATGTTATTCCAGTATTGTAATTTTCTATAACTTTTTTAGTCTTTTGTCACTTGTAAACACCCTGAAACTAATGATGGATTCAGAGTATCTGAAACATGACTTCTAAATTCAAGAGTGTGTTTATTTTCTTTAAATGTGCAAATATCTTGTTCATACTCCTAAGAAATTTAAGTAACCATAATACCTGCACTTGAGGTGTGTTCTGTAATGACAAATTCAACTGTTCATTATGCTCCCTCAGTTCACTGATTTCTCTGTCTTTGTCACTCTGCTCCAGCTTCAATCTCTCAACCTCCTTCACAAGAATGTCATGACTTTCATCGTCAGCTGTATCTCTGTAAATTGCATCCATACTTTCATATCCACCATTCAGCACAGGGCCTTGTCGTAGTTTGTCATTCTCTGCCCTTAACTGACTGATTTCTAGTTGTTGTGACTGCTCCTTGTCTCGTAAGCGATCTATCTCTTGCAGAAGGCGAGTCTCATTCTCATTCATTTGAAAATTTTGCGATGATGGTGCACAACCCATTTTAGAACCAAATTATTTAGCTAGAGTCCTGTTCTTCTTCCTGGTTGGCAGTTTGTTGAAATTCAGTACCTTAATCGCCTGCTCGACAGGCTCATCACAATCACTTCTCAGAACATCATGATTACTCTGAAATTTAGTGCAAAATTAAAAGTAAAAGAATCAGGGTAAACTTGCTCTGTGATCATATTGCCATTTTCTATGAAGTCAATATCATTGAAGAACAATAAATGTAAAGACAATGACATGATGGATAGTATCTGCAGTTATGTACACAAGTTAGCACAGCTGGTAATGCATCCAATTCAAGCCTTAACTTTTTAGATCAAGTGTATTTAAAAGGCATCCGCAGTTGAGGGATTGATACTCTTGATCAATACCCTCAATCGACATCCTGATCGATATTCTGTCGATACTCAATTGCCACTCGATCGACACTCCATCAACAGTCGCCCGATAGTCAGCCAAGCGTTCAGACTCATATGCATTAATCGAAAATTAGTTGACTCGACCGACTGTCAAGCGAGATGTTGATCAAGTGTCGATCGAGTGTCAACCATATTGATCGAGTGTTAGGGCATCCCGTAACTACATGAACCTTAATGGATAATACTTATGTGAGAATATTAGATACACTCAGGTATTTATTATGCAGGGCAGTATACATTCCTGTCTTAAGAGTTTGCCATCATCATAAGCTTAGCCATGCCCCAGATACCTATAATTTACAAGTCTACCAATAAATGCGGCCAAAATTGGGAAAAATAACCTAGTGAAATTTGAAATTTGAAATTTCACCCTTAATGATCAATTTATTCCTCTGTCATTTAATAATAATATTTTCTCGGCCAAGTTAACCTATCGCAAATATTAAAGTATGCAGAGGGTATAAATCCGTATGGATTATAGATTTATTTCTTGTTTGCCGTTAAGACATAAATTGTAATATTATAAGTAATAAGCTTGCATATTAAAAGGACTTAGCATGAATTAAATGAAGCTAAATTTACTCGAAAAGCTTAGTAACCTGAGCAAGCTGAACTTGTTAGTTTAGCATCGTATATAACACGTATTTAAGTGTCTGATGGATTCGCTGTAAAGATAGAAGTCTCCCGCTTACAATGTAAGAGTTTCTTTTCACAATACCTTTGTAACTCGACGTTCTGAAACACTTCTTCTGATCTGTCGGAGATTCGAAATTGAAGCCGCTCGATTGACCCTTTAAAGCTTGCAAAATCGTCAGCACAACACAATAAACTAATGATGTCCTTCTTCCTACGCACAGTGGCATAATGAATCATTCATGGCAAATTTAAATAACAGTGCAATATCCGTGGCAACCCTTGATCTTTAAATAAACAAAGCACAAAGAAGTATTTGCGTTAGGTCGTCCATTTTGAATACTAAATATTTCTCCGCGGAGTCTGGTGGAAGACTGGAAACTAAAGTTGGTAAATTTTAAGATGGCGGACAGCTGTGATCGTGTTTTCAGCAGGTCGATGCAAAAGATTTAATTTTCTTCGTCAGGGAAATAAAGAAAACAGGCCGATCGTAATGGATGAGCTTGTTTCAGACCTTAGCAGTGCTTTGGATAGAACGAATGATCCGCCTTCGGCTCATTCCGACACAACGATTGGAACTAGAGAATCGCCGTCAGCAACTCCGGTCCGCAAAGCACCGAAGAAAAGACGAGGAAGGAAACGACGATCGGATTATCCACCGCTTCGAGAACGTCCTAAAGCAAGTGCTGAGAGTAATGATTCTGTAGAAGAAGCCTTAATGGATTACATTGAAAATATATCCATGTGTCAAAGTGATTCGGAGGATGAAACATCATTTACGAAACGACTGTTGAGAGTTCAACATCATGGCCGCGAGAATCCAGATCCATATCCTCTTCCTGAAAAAGAGAAAGGGGAAAGTGATTCAGTGAGTGATCCTTTAGTAGGATTGACAAAACGTAGAAAGAAGAGAAAGCGAAAGCTTAAAAGAGTGTCCGGCTCGCAGTCACTGAACGATCGCGACTCTCCTCTAGGTTCGTTGGGGAGTTTAAAATCATTGAGTAGGACTCGAAAACGTAAGGTGTGCGGGAAATCTGCCATGGGAAGCGAAGTACACAACAGTCTCAAACGGAGGGACGAAGAAGGAAGTTTAGCAGATATTGAAAATGGCTTGAGCAGTGGATGCGGTGAGCCTATGGAGACTTGTGGTTCGTCCAACCATTTCTACAAGTTGCCATCGAGGTTACATATGCCAGGACGACTTGCCAAGCCAAGCGATCAAAGCATCGCACACTCATCTACATGGTTACACCATGATGATTGTGATGAAAAAATGGTAATGGCGCGGCCAGAAAATTATAAAATAGATCTTTCTTCCTCGGGAGAGAGTGATCTGGAAGGGTTTTTCACAAATGATGAAGGTCGCCTTGGGGACGATGAGAAAGAAGAAAGCTCGTTTGAATGTGACGTGAGGATCAACCCGTGGTGGGAAGAGAGAAGTGCAAGCGATACAGAAGAAGACAAATTTCAAAATATGGTAAATGGAGTCATGGATGAATACAGGAGACCTTTTGTTTCAGGTGTTGAAGGAAAAGGTGGTTTGGGTAGGTATACAGTGTAAATTATATTAATTAATGAACCCAATTTCTACGACAGATCAACAACTTACATGTAAGCTTATAATGTTGGTGAGCCAGCTGCAGTGGTCATTGGCCATTCTACAGGTGACTCCAATATTTAGCTTCTGCCAGTCATGCATACATTTTGCCATAGGAGAATATGAATCCACCCACTTTCTCGCAGAAGGCCGAAGTTTGTGGTTTTAGCAGCAAAGTTGTTCTCTCCTTCTTAACAGTTATCTGTTCTATCAACAGAGTGTAACTACTCAATTAGTCTTAATTGATAGTAAAGGAAGTAATATTTCCGTCTGTAGTGCTCACCCCTTCAGCCCTGTGCTGAAACCTGTCTGGGAGGGGGTATATTGTTATTGGCTTGGCTTGGTCCACAACATAATGCCAGCAACTATGCTCATCTTGCTGTACAGGCTGGAGGAACCCCTTGGCAGGGCACCTGCCATTATCCCCTTAGCCAGTGAGTGTACTGTGTACATGTATGTAAGTATGCATATGAGCCAAGTGGCCCATAAGGCCGGAGCTCATCCCGGTTTCCATAGCATTAAGGGAGTAGGAGTATTTCTGCTCCCCCTGGAGGCAAGTCCATTGCAGGGTTACCCCCAGCATCAAATTTGCCTGTACCCATTTAAACACTTGGGGGTAGAGAGCATTGTGAGAGTTAAGTGTCTTGCCCAAGAACACAACACTTTATACCCGGGCAGGACTCAAACCCTGACTACTCGATCCGGAGTCGATTGCACTAAACCATGAGGCCACCGCACCTCCCTGCACATGTACATGTACATGGTTGTTGGCTTTAATCTGAGCCTCGCCAGGTCTGAGTAAATTACATTGCAGTTACTGTTACTTGCCCCTCCCTTTTTCATTCTATTCTTCCATCCCACCCATGCTTCATGTTTGTCTGCAGTGACTTGACCTTGAAATTTCTCTAATATTGCATCATTAATATATATAATATCAAATTAAAATCAAAGTAGATTTACAGCTGTATACTTGTTCTTTACATCTCCAAATTCTTTGTTCTAGGTCTTCAAGGAAGGTTGAAGAAAAATTCAAAATTATATGGACAGGTAAAACTGAATCTTATCTGAGCAAATATCATTTTAACTGCTTGGACATGCACAGTGAAGTATTTTTCAGACCTATACATGTACATATTTTATTTTCTTATCATTTTGGCATAATTTCTTGAAAATTAGTGATGGGCTGGGCTAGCCGAGTGTGGTCTTCATTGAATGGAACATGCCAGAAAAAAAAAAATTATAATTTGACTGTATATCTATTTCTCATTTTTTTTGGTTTAACTTTATTCAAACCAGTTTGATTTTTATTTATTTATTTTTTTTATCTCATTTAACCATAATCAGAAACACAGGGAACGAAGAATTCAACATTAAACTGGTTGACCATTGCAAAGGCGATGGTTGTTTAAAGTAGTAATAACTTGTAAAAATCTATTTGTTTCCATGTGAACTGCACTGCACACTACTGCATTTGCTCAAAGAACATGATCATATTTTTTTGTGTGGTTCTTCTACAGGAAAGTACTATGGGTGACATAAACAGGAATATTGCAGTTTTTCTTCAGAATGAAAAATGGACAGAGTAAGTAAACATCAGATGAAATTGTACTTTGTTTCAACTTTCACATTACTGCTAGAGTTTCAGTTTTCAGTCTTATTATTGTACTCTCTCTATGCAGAGTTGGGGCTCAAAATTTCCTTGTCTTTTCTTTCAACCTGTGTTTAATACATGTAACTACAGGTACACAAGCTTGTATCCACTAAATGCTGGCATTTAATCACTGTATACGTACCCTGCTAAATATGTATTAGTAAGACGTACTCATAGTTAATCTTTAATATTTTGTTTTGTAAAATTATTACATTTTCTTGTACACATTAAGAAAATGTTATTTATTATGCATATTGTATTTAATTCTAGATTGTCAGTTTTTCCATCAAACAAGCTGGAAAGAGCACAGGTAATGAACTTTTGCCTTTGTGCTTAATTTAAATCATTTCCAACCGATTATATGTAGCTGCACCTTACCTCCTTTAAGGTGGTTTCTTGCCTTGGGATATCCAGTTCATAAGACAATAGTCCCTATCATGCTCCAATCTGTCGCAAAATGTATGTTCCTGTCTATGTTAAAGTACATGCATGTGGTTACCACGGCTTATTTCAGTGAACATTTTACAACTTATAACAGTTATCATTCTGTCAAACTTGTATACCTACAGAAATAATTCACATTTTTCTGTTGTAACTGCATGTGTGGGACACCTTGAGTAGTTCAAGAGTTCAATAAATAACTATTGATTTTTATGATTTGTTTTTTTAATACAATGTAGGTATATCAGTGGGCATCTTTGTATTCCCTTCAGTGCCAGGCAGATCCTGTCCACAGGGGACGAGTATTACTTTGTAAAACAAGGTAAAGAACTGCGCACTGCAATATATTGTACAGAATATAATCTTTTAGGTTACTATTTTTTCGTTGGAGTTAAGGTCATTCCACTGAAATAGAACCTGCACTGAGATTTTTGTCAAACATTGCCTGTTGATTGTTTATATTATAGGAACTTAAATTTGGAAATGAATATGCGGGGTCCCCATGTTTGTTTAGGAGCAACAGCACCTTGTTTGTACCCAATAAATTTTTATAATAGTGCCGTGGTTATAGTCACGATTGCTTGCTAAATTCACGTTTCCGACTATTGTTCCTTGTTCTACACTGAGAATTGGTCCATACTTATTTTACATAGAGAAATTTATTACTCAATTCAAAACAACAGAAAAAAATGATAGGTCACCGTACTCGTTTTCGAGGAAATGACGATTTACTTCTATGGCCGTAAAGAAAAAGCCGCCATTTTTTAATGCGCGTTCGCTAATCACATGTGAAATTATGCGCAGTAGGGATGCGCAGTGCAATACTGGGGAATGACCTTAACTTCTTAATTACTTGCGTGAAAAAAAAATTCTTATTGCAATTAGGAACAAAAGTGATTTAGACGCTGCCCAAAATCACATCTTTTCCCTTCAAGTATGGTTTGTGCTACATGTACCTCCACTTCTCATATTTGCACCCCCCTCCTCCCTCCCCCACTCCGCCCTTTCCATTGTTGTAACCATGGAACTGTGTTAACAAAGCGTGTTTCAACACTGATTGGGGGTATGGGGTTGGCTATGGATGAACAAGGTAATTCTTAAATTGAGAGAAGTACTGTTCTTTGTTAGAAACCTTTCCATTTCCAAAAAAATGTTTCAACACTTTTGTCTGCAATTTTAGGTCTAAAGTCAAGATGTGTTTTGTTTAAATTACTGTTAATTGTTTCTTAGTCGCCCATCGCCTCCAAGACACCCTAACCGACCAGACGCAGAGACAAAGAGGCGGAGGAAAATGCCACCTCAAATTTGTGGTCCGCATTGTAAGTAATGCTTGAATCATCACAGTGCACTTTGCATACATTTAGTTTTGGAAGGAATCTGATTAAATTGCCATTGCCACAAGATCAAACTATCAATTCTTGTTACTGAGCACCATACATTTCTTGTAATGAAGCCTGTGAGAATATGTTGGTAGATATACTGTAATTTCCTCCAGTTGATAGTTTTCTTTATTCAAAACTTGTCTGCTTGATCATGTATTAACAATGTAACACAAAAAATAGATATGGATAACTTTTGGGATTCAAAATAAAAGGTCTGACTCATTATTTCACTAAACTAATTAAATACTGATTGCTTTTTGTTTCCATAGCAACAGTGGGAGGAGACGACCCTATACCCCCATCAAACATTGGGAACCAGATGCTACGCATAATGGGTTGGACGCCAGGGACTGGACTAGGAACCGACAGAAATGGCATCAAGGACCCAGTCAGGGCATACTTGAGACCAAAAGGACTGGGGCTAGGTCATCCCTGGCCTTCATGAACGCATCCTCATGCGATGGATGTTTTAATTTATTGTCAGGAAGAAATCACTTTAAAGCTCTGTCAAGTTAACTGCTGGTGTATATAGTTTTTATGAATAGTTTTATTTTAATTTTGAGGTTTTTAAACTTTTAGTGAAGAGGGAGGGATCAACATTTTGAAATTTGAATAATTATTTGCTTTCACTACAAAAAAGTTCTGTTAACTATCTCGAAAAGAAAATAAATGATCTTAATTCAACGTGCACTGAGTTGCTATAATTTCCCACACTTCAACGTTTGCACGAGAATTGATGATTTTTGACCGTCAAACAACGGTGGAAAGAACGAAATGCAATGAGTTATATTTTAACTTAGATGTATGTAAATGAAAAGGAAGCTTTAAAGAATGCAGGCTTCAACAGGACTGAAACTTGTTTTCTGTGCAAACTTTCTATCATTGAGCCGCGAAAACACTGCGAATTGGTCAGCGTATACACATAAAGTAATAAATGTGAAATAATGAATGTATAAAATAAATGAATGATATATGTCGTCTGTGTTGAAAAGAACTAAAGAGATTGAGATCTTCGAAGTGGCATTTCAACTTTAAGCTGTTGAAAAACCAGTTCTGTCTCGATTAGCCTTCAGTTAAGACAAAGTCATCTTTGTCGTCATAGTACATTCGAAAAATGGCTTGACAAACTATGAAAAGAAGTTAGAAACTATCTCGGAGATTCTTATTTAAGTGGCCATGACCAATAGTAATAGAAAAGTATCCTTGGAATTTTGGTTTTTAGTTTGGAAACAATTTGCACAAACCATCCTTTGACGGGTATAAGACTGGTTGTTATTTTCTGAAAAGCTTTAACTCACAGGACCATCTGTCAAGGTAATAAGCCACTGTGGTATCTTCTCCGTACATGTGGAGTTCTAAATTTGTGGTGCATTCCTAAGTGTTTTTAATTTAGGTCTTGATAATTGTAGTCAAATCAACATAGTGTCAGTTTTTAGGAAATTTTGAATTCTGCCAGCTGGTATCAAGATCTATTCCGCATTCACTTCTGTTAACACTGTTAACTAACAGAAGGATAGGGAATTTATTAAGAAGTCGATCCTTTGAGAGAGTTAGAACGATATTCACTGAGAAAGTAAAAGCAATCGACATTATTTTAATCTAAATTTGATACGTTTCAATAGAGACAAGTTGTTGTTGACTGAGGCAAACGTGGAACGTAAATTTGCAAATTACGACTTAGTAAGCTAGATGTATAGCTTCTGCCGATCATAAATTTCATAAATTGATGATTTTTTTTCTCTCTGAAAACACTAATACTTCAAATAATTTCTTTTCAATTCACGTTGTTTCATACAATATATTTCTTAAACCCGGCCACTCCAAGATGGATTGGACTACATTTCAATAAACTGTGGAAGCAGCGACCACTTCTTTGTTATTTGTGAAAATATTACGCTGATTTTAAACGATTTGAGTGAGTGTCCCGGGACTTGAATTCAAAATTGTCGACATGACTAAAATGTTTGCTCGTTCAAGTCAATTGAAAATATTCCTTTTGTTGGTAAAACAAAAGATGTTTTTTTGTTTTGCGACCATGATGGTCGCATTATGTGTATTTCTGTCAGTACTTATCGGATGTAAAATAACAAACAGGCAGAAGTTATTTCTTAAATATAGTTAGATGTAGGACGGAAGTTTCTATGTAAAATTTTAAGAATTCTTACTACCACTGCAAAGTCACAGCCGAAGACAGTGATTTTGTTAATATGGTATTCGTCACGATGCATAAGTTTTCAAGTGTTTATGTCGTTTTTAACTTGCGTCATGCGTGAGAGTGAAAACAACGTCCAAAAAAAACTGCATTTTCGAAGAAAATTAAGGGACCCTTTCTCATGCGGCAGATAGTGAAAACGTCTTGTAAAAATCAAGGCAGAATGTCATCATTCTCTTAAGAATATGCTTCCCCCCCTCACCCCTCCTCCCCTCCCCTTCCCTCCTGGGTACGTTGGTTCGTTTTCGTTTTATTCAACTTGAGCTAACTTGGAAAAACTAGCCAGGATAATTGTAAGAAACGTTAGTGAGTGAACCCTTGTCATCTTATAGACGATTCGACTGAGGCCTTGAACTACTGTCATGGTCTTGCATAGTAACTACCTTCACTTAGCGCCTCCCTCTTTCCAATCGTGCAGCTAGTTTCAAGGGATTTTACCCTAAATGTTCAATAAATTTAAAAACCCATCAACAGGGCACTGATCAGCAGAACTGATGGCGAAGAATTCCTCAAACGATGTTGTTCCTACCACTGAGATGATGGAATCTCCTGAGGGTACATCACGAGGTGAAAAAAATAAAGAAGAAGAAAAAAAAACATAAAACAGATCTTACGATATGGCTGGCCTGTAACAAAGAATATCTTGTACATTTATTTCTTACAAGAAATCGCTTTCAAACTCTCTCGTCCTCGACTCATCACTTGCCATTTGGATCCGTGAGTAAACTTTGAGGTCTTCAAGAAAGTTTTCATATAGAGTATATTGGAATGATTTTACGATGTGTCCTTTAGGAGGTGACGAGGGATTTAAATAACCCTTCAGTTTAAAAGTTTGTTCGGCTCGTTGTTTGTCTGTAAACAATTGAATACCTAATCATTATATGCTGCCATAAGGTCACATCTGGCTTGACAGTGGATCACAAATAAATTCACCGGAAAAAAAAAAGTCTTCAGGGCAGAAAACGATTGTTTAATAAGACTACCTTTACAAAAATACACCTTTTACAACAGGCAAGCAATGTAGAAACGCGGTTCCAAGCAATGAGTTTCATGCACCGCTTTTGCAGTAAACATAAAGACAAAGCTTGTGTGATGATATGACTAAAAAGTTAGTGTGATAACTTGACTAAAAGAAAGCAAGCATTTGTGTTTTTATTTACTTTGACGTGTTTAGTGAAAGCAGAGGCTGAAGGCGACAGTGTAAATTATGGCCAAGGAGTTTCAGTATCCTTTGAGTTGCTTGCTATGGTGTTAATGGTTATCGCAAATCTGACGACCATGAACTGTGAAATAAGCGACAAAGGGTTAATAGCATGTTTAATTTACTACGCAGAAACAAGTAGCATTTTATAAAAAGTATAGATTGCATTGTAAGTCACAAGTGACGGAGTCGTAATCAGAGTGGTAATCGAGATCGTAATCAGAAGCGTGTCGCTATACGATGTAGAGAAAATCAAACCAATGAAGTCTGAAGCAGAACACCCATTCCGCTTATGACTCCCTGGGTTACGACCTAGTGAAAACTAGATTGTCGGAGTCGGAAGCAGAAGCGGAAGAATAAACCAATCATAATGTTAGATTCCGGGCCCTGTGATTGGTTGGTTCTTCTGCTCCTACTTTCGATTCCAACAATCTAGTTTTCACTGGATCATATTCAACAGAGTCGTAAACGGAATCGGAAGAAATGGAAACGTTCCGATTCTTCCGACTCCAGTTCCGTCGAGCTTGTGACTCCGCTTACGACTCCAATTTTTAATTTTCACTAGGATGTAAGCTCTCTTTCGACTCCGACTACGACTATCACTCCCAGTCCATCGCCAGTGAAAACCAGCCTATAGGAGCACTCCATCGACAATAAATTTCACATCTTTTAGTCAGTGCCGTGTATATGCATAGAAAAATACATTTATTGTCATGCGACCTATCTCGTGATGTTACGTTCACAGTGAGTACATAGTACAGTCTGTATAATCATAAACAGGTATAATGGAGGATTACTGTAATTCAGACGTAAATAGATAGTTTTCTCAACTTTGAAAAGAGTGATGAGCAAAGCCAAATGATGATGAAAATGAGGGACATGTCCCTAAAGACAAACAGCACAGACAAAGAAGGTTCAAACCCTGCCACCCATGAAGACGAGGTAGGTGGCTAAACCGTAGTTTGTGTTAGCACGTGAGTCCAACTGAGTGCTGCTGGTTGAATTTGTATGTATTTAAGTGCAAACGTTCCAATCTCTCAATGCAGAGCGGGTTGGCAGGAATTCAAAGTAGAAGTAAAATGTACGTTACTGACACGGTTGTGAAATGTGGTCACTTTTCACTTGAATGGTATCATATATAAACTCTAAAGAACTAAAATAAAATGGCGTCGTGGTTCCGAATTTGGAGTTAAGACAGATTCTTGGCATTGAAAGCATTTTATTATGGCATGAACTCGAAAGAACGCCAGCATTTATTATCTGTCAAAGAAAACGTTGGCTGAAAAACGGCTGAAAATCGTTGCTATTGTTTTCCATTGCCAGAGAACCAGAGGAGAGAAAATGGAAAAAGAGATACACGAACGAGCTACAAAATGTCGGGAATATCGCGTTACTGGCTTCAGATACTTTTTCGTTGATGATTTCAAAATGGCTATAAAGTACTTCCAACTTCAAATGTCTACTGCCAAAGAAATGGAAGACAAAAGTGGTGAAGGAGATGCATATGGAAACCTTGGCAATGCTTATTACTCTCTCTCTGAATTTGAAAAGGCCATAGAAAACCACCTCCACCATCTTAGCATTGCCAAAGAAGTGCAAGATATAGATGAAGAGGGGCGTGCATGTGCCAATCTTGGTATTGCTTATAACTCTCTTGGTGATTTCAAGAAAGCCATAGAGTACCACGTGCAACATCTTGATATTACCAAAGAAACGGGCGACAAAGTTGGGGAAGGACGAGCGTATGGCAATCTTGGCAATGCCTACCACCAATTGGGTGAATACGAAAAAGCCAAACAACATCACGAACAATATCTCATCATTGCCAAAGAAGAGAAAGACATAGTCGGAGAGGGATTTGCTTATGGTAATCTTGGTATTGTTTATGTCACTCTGGGTGATTTCAAAACGGCCATTAAGTGTCACCAGCTACATCTTAGTATTACCAAGGCACTGGGAGACAGAGTTGGAGAAGGAGGTGCATATGCTAATCTTGCCATTGCTTATCACAAGCTGGGTGATTTTAAAACCGAAATAGAGTACCTCCAGCAACATCTGAGTATCGCCAAAGGAATGAAAGATAGAGCCGGTGTAGGACGTGCTTATGGCAACCTTGGCGTAGCCTACTGCTCTCTCGGCGATTTCGAAAAATCCATAGAGTACAACAAGCTTCATCTTAGAATTGCCAATCAAGTAGGTGACAAAGCAGGAGAAGGACGCACGTATACCAATCTTGGTAATGCTTATAACTCTCTCCGCAATTTCAGTGAAGCGATAGAGTGCTACCAGCAACACATTAGTATCGCCAAAGAATTGGAAGACAGACCAGGAGAAGCTGATGCGTACGGAAATCTTGCAAACGCTTATAAGTCACTTGGACAATTCCAAAAGGCCAAAGAGTATTACGAGCTAGCTCTTAAGATCTTCAAAGAAATGGGAGATAAAGCTAAAGAAGGAGAAACTTACTCCAGTCTGGGCGATGACCATCTTCGACAAGGAAATTTGGAAAAGGCGATTGAAAACTACAAGTTACATCTTAGCATTGCTACCGCAGTTGAAGACAGAGTTGGAGAAGCAATCGCACAGTTTAAGCTTGGCAATGTTTATCACATTGTCGGAGACCTGTGCAAAGCTGAGTACTTTTATAAATCCAGTGTACAACTGTTTGATAATCTCAGAGATCGCCTTCAATCCAAAGACGAATGGAAAATCAACCTGCGGAATCTTTACAAAGAGCCCTACACTGCTTTATGGAATGTTATGTTGAAACAAAACAAAACGAATGAAGCTCTCTTAACAGCTGAGCGAGGGCGTGGACAGGCCCTGATGGATCTCATGGAACGTCAATATGGCTTAAACTTGGCTCACCCTGGACCTGGTGTACAAATCGGAACAGCCACTGCCATTTTAAACTATATTTCAAAGCAGATGGGAACAATGTCAGACATTCTAAGACACATTTCATCACCAACCGTGTTTCTGGCAGTTGGAACGGATGCAATCAATTTCTGGGTTCTAAAGACGGGCGAAGAACCTATTTACGTTCAGAAAAAAATTGATGAAAAATATTTTAGAGAAGACGCCGTGCATTCCTTGAAGTCCTTGAATGAAGATGCATACTCCAAAATTGGTGTGCTAGATGGCGTTAAGTGCGATAATCGATCTTTGGATGAACCGACAGAAGAAAGGGTGGCTGATCAAAGTCATGGACCTGATGGTGGGAAAGGACCAACGTCACCAGGCTGCGAGGATGATGTCTTAACAGTATTGTATGACATGGTCATTAGTCCGATTGCAGACATGATACAAGGTGATGCAGTTACCATTGTCCCTGATGGTCCATTGTTCTTGGCTCCATTCCCTGCATTCAAGGACCAAAACAGCAGGTATTTGGCAGAAACATTTTCCATACGATTCATTCCGACCTTAACCAGTTCAAAGCTGATGGCGACAGAGAGACCAGAGCAGCAACACGGTACAAGTGAAGCATTGTTTGTTGGCGATCCGTGGGTGGGAAGTGTCCGCATCAAGACAAAGAGGCTTCATCAGCTCCCATCTGCCAAAGCAGAGGTGGAAATGATTGGAAACATTTTGAAGACGAAGCCTCTCATTGGAGAGGCTACAACAAAAAAAGAAGTTTTAAGCAGACTAGACTCGGTTGCTTTAGTACACATTGCCGCCCATGGAAAAGTCGAAACGGGCGAGATTGTTTTATGTCCAAATTCTGATCATTCCCGAAAACCAAAAGAAGAAGACTACCTCCTAACAATGGAAGATGTCCTGACATCCAAATTGCAAGCAAGGCTCGTAGTCTTAAGCTGCTGTCATAGTGGGCGAGGAAAGATCAAAGCCGAGGGCGTGGTTGGTATTGCAAGGGCCTTTTTGGGAGCTGGTGCTCGCTCTGTTCTGGCGTCACTGTGGGCGCTTGATGATGATGCATCTTACGAGTTTATGAAGCATTTCTACACACAGCTGGAGAAAGGCCAAAGTGCTAGTAAGTCTCTGAATTTGGCCAGAAAATCCATGCGCGAATCCGGCAACTTCAGTGATGTAAAACACTGGGCTCCGTTTGTACTTCTTGGTGATGACGCGATGTTTCATTTTGGTAAAACCAGATAAGAAACTCGTAGACACGGGACTCAAATGATCTTTCGAACGCATTTGTAATTAACGAGAACGATCTTTCAAAGCAACATTTACTTTGCTGCAGTATTTTGTTAAGTATTGAAAATACATTTGAATTTGGTAGATCGGTTTAATTTTACCTTTGTTTTTCCTTGGTAATCGAAGGTCATCTGTGATCACGTAGTATTTCTACTGTTTTTTCTTACTATTCATATCGGAGATTAACACCTGTTTTGGTATATACGACAAATTTGAAATGTTTATCTACAAAATTATAGTCTTACTGTATGGTCGGAAAGATGAAAAGGCATTTGAAAAGCTGAAGAATTCACGCTATTAGGCACAGAGCACGCGGCAACAACATCCACAAAGATGTAAAAATGATTGCAAAGCTAAGTTCTTGTTATCTTGCTATCTGCAGTGGTTATGCAATTGATGTATACAGTTATGTTCCCGGCGTAGCTTTTAATGTTAAGTTGTGTACCGTAGAATGTTATTGAACTACCATACGATAGTTTCTCATGTTTTACTCCTCGTCCGTTTTTGAGCGTTTTTAAAAGCCATACCTTGTAAAAAGCTGTGTGTAATGTATTCATCGAATGATGCGACTTTGCGCAATAAAGGAAATTTAAAGTCCTGTCAGAAGATTTGAGTATATCTTGATCAATATGTAATTATTCCTCAGGGCGTACGTGCCGTGAAGATTAGATACAGACAAGATATTAGACGGTGGAGAGAAGGTATGAATTTCATACGCTCGAGTGGCAAGAACAGCGTACCAGTAAGATATTTGTTTTTGCCACGAGAACCTAAAATTCATATCTTTGAGCCAACGTGTAATGTTCTTTTTACTATATGAAGACCAAATATCTACTGATTTTATTGCGTTTTCAGATAATTGAGTTTTACAAATACAGGTGGGCTTCATAGAAAATACAAAGTACCCAGTGTTCTCGCTCTCAAGTATTTCGGAAAACTCATTCACTTCTTCGTCAATAAGTAAAACAAATCTGCCTGCCACCGCCATATAATTCTAAACAGAAAACGACGCAAGAAACCAAGTTCATTCAACAAAGGTGGAAAAGGTGAGAATAAAGACGTCATTGAACGATTCGACACTCGCAAGAGTGAACAATGAAAAATACGCCACTCGGTTCCCGGAGAAAGAGGCTCATGGAATCTGTGAGTGGTTTAGTTCCCAGTAAAACACTTTCCTCCATAAAATAACGGTAGTCCCATGTATTAGATACCGTTTGTGTGTGCGTGTGTACAAGAACGGAAACTGCAAAAAAAAAAATCATTACAGCGTAACGCAAAGTAATTAACCAAGGTTTCTTTCAAACGTCGGTTTTCCAGCATACAAAATAAATTAATTTAAGTATGTGTTTGTGTAAGCTAAAATCAAAACCCAATTGTATTGACATTCAACAACTTTTTGTGAAATAACTGGGCCATGTCACGAAAAAAAAAAACTTATCTTTCTCCTGCGAAACTTTGGTACGTTTCTAAAAACTGTTTCCTTATCTTAATCAAAGAAACTATTTCGTTATTTGCGATAAAATATTTCAGTTTGATGAAATAAATTCAACTCTGGATACTGCATCATCAGATGGCTACAGAAAACAACATTGATGTATTTATTTCAATGTCGTGCACATTAATTTTAACGGCGTGGTGCAAAAAGTTCAAAGGTATATTTTTCCTGAATCCCTAAATGAGCGTGATTTTATCCATCAACGTGTCGAGAGACTGTTTTTGTAAGTTGCTGACGATTACTTGATACTGTTGTTATAACAGATGTTAAACAGACTGTTAAAATGACTTCAAGATTTATTCTACAGAAACGATGCCGATTGGATGAACATAAAGTTTACAACTAAAACTTAATCACCCCCATAAAAGTATCTGCCTGAACTTTTCTATTTCAGTGTGATGAAGTTTGCTTGTGATGATGAACAAAGTTTCTCATACTTTAACAACAGCAAGCAAGGTATCCCACTTTAAGGTAATTGAAATGAAAAAATATTTCTCTTTCTTCTGCTTTTCACATAGTTCAGAAAAGTAACACACGGATACAAATTGACCCACTGATGTCGCTAATTACTTAAAATGCATCTCAACTATATACACTGGCCACTATCAACGAAACAACTCTTTTTTTAAGGGTCTTGCCAGTTTGTTCAGACTTTCAGAGGAAATTTAGACTTTGTAAAGTACTTAGCGAAAGATACAGCAATGTGTTCATGTCATAACCTAGTATTTGGCAAAATAGTTAACGCTCATTCGAGCGTTGGGTATCAAAATTTCTACACACTGTTAAACACGGCGCATTGGTTGTTTCTTGAACGTGAAACAATTTATAGAAGAGACATTCGTAAATTCATAAGTAGATTTGAGAAAGAATAATATAAAGGAAAGGCATGACAAACTATAACATGAATCGTAATTAAAACTGATATGTCACTGTCTAGGACAAGTTTTCATATCTGTACACGTCTAAAAGAGTGATCGATTCCAGAAAGTTTTACGGAAACCAATATTTGTATGTTACTTATGAATTCAGAGGAGACCGAGCGAAAACGAATTCGAGCTTTTGTTTTACTCCCTGCCCACTTGGCTGATTTCAGTTACATGGCACCAGAATCAATAAACGGATAATTCCTGTGCAGAGGTATAATAAATATCACGGAAAAATAAAATAACATGGTATTTTCTCATAAATAACAATCAAGGTAGCGATTCCCGCAAAGAAACAGATGTCTGTGTCGACAGCAGATACAGCCAACAGCCGACTCTTCAATTGTAAACTGGAAGGTTTTCGCCTAATTTGTTCCAACCTTTCAAAACAATTTTTTAAATCACCTGCAGCGAAGTTGATCTTTTCTGTTCAAATGGTTCAGAAAATCTTCGGTTATTGTATAAAATGAATATATTCTCTGTAGTCCGGTGGTTCTTTGCATTCAAGACGTCCAATGTGATAGGAACATTACCTTACCACTTCGGCCATGTTCTTATTCTAAACAGGCATTTGTTTTGCGGGTGGCTATTTATCTTCAACTGAACTCACGGCTTGATAAAAGTGAAACCCATTTGCTGTGGAAACTAATTGCAAGTTAGTTTCCATTGAAAAGCAAACAGAAAGAAAAACATGATCAATGAAGAAACATGGTAAATTTTAAGCTTGATTGTGACATGGGAAGGACATAGGTAAAGGGAAAAAATCTGAGAAAATCTGTGATCACAAGGTGAAATGTGTTTCTCCAGCAATATGTTTGACGACTTGCATCTTTATATGCAGGATTTGTGATATAACATTTGTACACGTGCGACTACAGAAAATAACATCTGCTACAAGAAAATGCTTTTCCTGCTTTTTCTGTTCCTGTGGATTGAAAAGGATGACTCTCTTGCTATAAAAGGTACACATTTACAAGTTTTTCTCTTGGCGTTAACAAATTAGCCAATCTATTATACTCCACTTTCCCAATCTGCGCTGCGGTCATTTTCAAGCCAGTTTCGTTTCTGATATAAATTCTTTGTGCTCTGTGTCATGAATTTTGAAGTTAAAAAACATTTTGAAAGCGTTTTAAAAACGTTGTCGAGATTGTAGGCAATAGGACGCCAATTGAAAGCCATTCAAATAGAAGTCTGTACGCATGTCAAATTGAATGTGTTGGCCACTGTGTTTTCTATGACTGTATTTTCTATGACATGGTATAATACTAGTTATATCTGCAACACCTAAAGGTTCGTGTGTATACCAATAAAATACAAATGACTGGTGGAATAATCCATGTTATCACACAACTAAGTTAGTTCAGGAGCCAAATTACTAGCCAATCAGATTGCTCAATTGCTGGTCCAATATCCTCTTAGTATTGGATCGAGCACTTTCCCGAATGTTCCTGCAAAATCACTCTTGAGGATTTTCTGGTAGTTTCAGTCGTGTTGTAAATCTTTTATAAACCAAGATTGCTCGGGACCGGTCTGGGAGAATATCATCTTTCTGTCGTTTTTGATACGGACTTCGCTGCGGTTGGTATGAACTGTCAAGACCTCGGGCCGATGTTCTCACAGTACAGCCCTCACGCTTAGTCAATAACATATATACGTACTACTCGAAAGCATTACATAATGAGTATTAATTCTAACAGAATGCGGCTCAGTGGTAAACAATACTTTGAAAAGTCCTGGATACCCAAACAGCTATCCAAACGAAATATACTGCAATTACACAGTTCCAATTCCAGTTGGTATGGCGTTGGAGGTTACCTTTCATTACTTTAGCCTAGAAGATGATTTTTTCGACGGTATATGGTAAGTCAAAACTAGAATTGAATTAATAGCGTAACGTTAGAGATTAATAATTGCTCTCGGGTAACACAAAAAATTATATTTTTATATTATTGGGACACAATCAAAATATCTTCATCCCCGTCTTACTGGTCACTGTGGAGTCTTTTTCCCCTGAGCATCTCAAAAATATTTCTCCTTTGTTGAATGCAAATATCAACAACATTAATCGTGGAAACAAAGTGGAATAAATTTTTGATTTTTCCACTGTATCCTGCCAACTATTGTATTATCATTTTCTAATGTAAAAAGCCTTCTCAAACTCATTAATAATTTACCAAGTTTAAACAAAGGAAATCATGACCGTGACGGTGTTTGGAAACCTGATCTTAATTAGCATAGATTTTTGCCATATTAATTGTCCGTTTTCTCCTTAGTTTTAGCTTCGATTGAGAAGATATATCAAACACGAAAGACAGTGTTTGACCACATTTCCAAACACCTCGAAGTTCGTCAAAAATACTCCGTTAAGCATCGTATTTTCCACTCTCTTCTCGATGTTTGGAAATGTGGTCAAACGCTGTCTTTCGTGTTTGATATATTAGGTAAAATTTATCCCTTGCATCTGAACAGCAGAATTACGCTACTTGACGTACGCCATTACAACACCTAAGTCCAAGTTCTTTTAGAATAAATAGAAA